CTGCATTAGTAAGGGACAGAGCTAGCAGACCAAGGGACGTGATTATTCCCCTCTATTTGGCACTGGTGAGGCCACGTCTGGAGTATTGTGTCCAGTTTGGCGCCCCACCCCCACTACAGAAAGGAGGGAACTAGGCTTATTTAATCTGCAGAAGAGAAGAGTGAAGGGGGATTTGATAGCAGCATTCAGCAACCTGAAGTGAGGTTCCAAAGACGATGGAGCTAGTTCAAAGTGGCAGATAACAAACAAGGAGCAGTGGTCTTAAATTGCAGTGGGGGAGGTCTATGTTGGATATTAGGAAACACTATTTAACTAGGAGGGTGGTGAAGTACTGGAATGGGTTACCTGTGGGCAGGTGGAATCTCCATCCTCAGCGGTTTTTAAGGCCTGGCTTGACAAAGCCCTGGCTGGGATGATTTAGTTGGGATTGGTCCTGCTTTGAGCAGAGGGTTGAATTAGATGACCTCCTGAGGCCTCTTCCAACTTTAATCTTCTATGATTCTGTATCAAGTGTCAGAGAGGAACATGTTCCCCATCTGTCTTTGCTGAAGCAATAAAACTCTGTAATTGGTGCATAATGAACCACATAGTCATCTCGGCTTCTTACTACCTAGTTATTCAAAACACCATGGCAGACATTTCTTTCTAAATTATGAATGAGAACTGAACTGCAGAGTCCTTCACATGATATTCTCAGCTTGGTGGTTCTCATAGGTCAGTGGTAGGCAACCAGAGCAATCTGATTGTGGGTCGTGAGACATTTTGCTGACATTAACCATCCACAGGCACGGCCCCCCACAGCTCCTGTTGGCCGGGAATGGCGAACCATTGCCACTGAGAGCTGCGGGGGGTGGGGTTCTCTATTCACTCACCTCTCTACAGCAAGATTCCTGCAAGGTCTGTCAAATAGCTTCCCACAAATCAGAGACCCTACTCGTAGCTGGGACCAGAACCTGTTCTCAGTGGCTTTATGAAGTGTCTGTTTGAACCACTAGCTAGGTGTTCATTATTAGATTTATCTTTGAAGACAGCCTTTCTGGTAGCGATCACTTTTGCCTGAATGGTGGGAGAATTGATTTATAGTATTTTTCTGAAGAGGCAGTGTTATGGGCCTATTTAAGATTCTTACCTCAAATGTCCTCGGAATTCCCCATTAATCAAAGCATTCATCTTCTGGCTTTCTTCCCAAAACTACTTCGGACTAGTCAAGAAGCCTCTAGATGTGAGACGGGCATTTGCATTCTACCTAGACAGGACTAAACCATTTAGAAAATCTCTTAGACTATTTGTATCCGTTGCGGACAGAAACTAAATTGGTAATTTTGAAACAGTGGTTGTCTGTGTGAATCTCGGGTTTTATTAAGACTTGTTTCGACAGAGCTCATGTCCAACCCCCTTCAGGAGTGATAACACATTCTACAAGAGCATTATCTACGTCCGGGGTCTCAAACTCAATTTACTTTAGGGCCAGTGCCCGTCCTCAAATCCTCCCAGCGGGCCAATAATGTCACTCATGCTGCCCAAAACTCCTCCCCCCACCTGCCTAGGGCTCTGGGACAGAGTTTGGGTTGGGGAGGAGGTCTGGGGTAGGGAATTGCGGTGCAGGCTCTGGGAGGGAATCTGGGTGCAGAAGGGGTGAGAGGTTGGGCTCTGGGAGGGAGTTTGGGTGAGGGAGGGGGTCTGGGATGGAGTTTGGGTGCTGGGTGCAGGCTCTGGGCTGGGGCAGAGAGTGGGGGTGCAGGAGGAGGGGGGTGGGGTTGCAGCCTCTGGGAGGGGGAGGGAGTTCAGGCTCTGGGAGAGAATTTGGAGGTGGGAGAGGGTGTGAGAGAAGGGGTGTAGGCTCTGTGAGGGAGTTTGGGGGGTGTGGGGAGGGGGTGCAGGCTCTGTGAGGGAGTTTGAGGGCAGGAAGGGGGTGAGGGTGCAGGCTCTGGGAGGGGGTCAGGGTGTGTGGTGCTTACCTGGAGCTCCAAGGCAGGGTGGGCCAGGTGGCCTCTGAGCGCTGCTGCCCCAGCCCCTGCAGCTTTCCATTGGCTGCAGGGGCACTTGGGGCAGGGGCAGCGCGGGGAAGCACATGGAGCGGCCGGCAGACACATGGAGCGAGCAGTAGACGCCGCTCAGCTCTGCTGCGCTGCCGGGGCACTGAACTGTTTTAAATCACCTGTGGGGGAGGGAGCGCCCAGGGGCGGCAGGTGTGGACAAAGGAGAGACCCAGCCCAAAATTGCTGGAGCCCTGCGGGGAGGTTCACGGGCCGCGAGTTTGAGACCCCTGATCTACATCCTTCCTTAAGGATGTACCTCTTGTAGACATCTGTAGAGCAGCAACTTGATCCTCTGTTCATACCTTTTCTAATCATTACGCTCTGGTGCCCCTGGCGACATCAAATGCAGCTGTGGCCAATGCAGTTCTCTCTTCTGTATTGGACTGTGCTTCGAACCTTCCACCTCTTTAAGGGGATACTGTTTAGAAGCCACCTGAAGTGGAGGCCCCACAGAGCTGCTATATGAAAAAAGAAAGGGTGCTCTGCTACGTGCCCTCCTTCCCCTTTTCTTCAGAATTGCCCTTAAGGGATTCTCTGGTGGAGAAGGACCTGAGGGTGGTTTGCCTGCACAGCTCCATAAAGCCTCGGTGTGGGGCACGAGGATGCGTGGGTTGTATGTGTGGGCCAGATGGGCACTGCTGTCAAAAATATATGATCAAAGGTGCGGGGCGCAGTGGAACATCCACAGAGATACATCTCAAAGAACTCCAGTTACTGTGCAACGTGAGTAACCTCTCCTTGTGTTGGCTCTGCCTGAGCCTTGGCAGAATAAGGGTGCACTAATCAGCATGTTTCTCCTGCTCTGCCCAGTGGTGCAGAGCAGAAGGGATTTTATTTTCTGGTGGAATTTGTACTACTTGTTAGTAGAGCTGTCAATCGCAGTTAACTCACATGAATAACTCAAAAAATTAATCGCAATTAAAAAAATTAATCGCGATTAATTACACTTTTAATTGCGCTGTTAAACAATAGAATACCGGTTGAAATTTATTAAATATTTTTGGATGTTTTTCTACATTTTCAAATATATTGATTTCAATTACAACACAGAATACAAAGTTTATAGTGCTCACTTTATATTATTTTTATTACAAATATTGCACAGTGAAACAAAAAATCATATTTTTCAATTCATCTCATACAAGTACTGTAGTTCAATCTCTTTATCATGAAAGTACAACTTACAAAGTAGATTTTTTCTGTTACATAACTGCACTCAAAAACAAAACAATGTAAAACTTCAGAGTCTACAAGTCCACTCTTCTTGTTCAGCCAATCACTAAGAGAAACAAGTTTGTTTACATTTATGGGAGATAATGCTGCCTGCGTCTTATTTACAATATCACCTGAAAGTGAGAACAGGCTTTCGCCTGGCCCTTTTTGTAGCTGACATTGCAGATATGCTAAACATTATGTGCCAGACGTGCTAAACATTCATATGCCCCTTCATGCTTTGGCCACTATTCCAGAACATGCCTCCATGCTGCTGCTGATACTTGTTTAAAAAAAAAAAAAAAAAAAAGCGTTAAATTTGTGACTGAACTCCTTGGGGGAGAATTGTATATCCTCCTGTTCTGTTTTCCTCGCATTCTGCTGCTTATTTCATGTTATAGCAGTCTCGGGTGAGGACCAATCATAGTTCGTTTTAAGAACACTTTCACAGCAGATTTGAAAAAACACAAAACATACCAATCTGAGATTTCTAAAAATAGCTACAGCACTCAACTCATGGTTTAAGAATCTGAAGTGCCGTCCAAAATCTGAGAGGGACAAGGTATGGAGCATGCTTTTTCAGAAGTCTTAAGAGCCACACCCCGATGCCGAAATTACAGAACCCAAACCACCAGAAAAGAAAATCAATCTTCTGCTGGTGTCATCTGACTCAGATGATGAAAATGAACATGTGTCAGTCCGCTCTGCTTTGCATTGTTGTTGAGCAGAACCCATCATCAGCATGGATGCATGTCCTCCGGAATAGTGGTTGAAGCATGAATGGGCATGTGAATCTTTAGCACATCTGGCACGTAAATATCTTGCGATGCCGGCTACAACAGTGCCATGAGAATGCATGTTCTAACTTTCAGGTGACATTGGTTACAATTTGTGGGAGATGATGCTGCCCACTTCTTGTTTACAAACTTGTTTGTCCGAGTGGTTGGGTGAAGTAGGACTGAGTGGACTTGTAGGTTCTAAAGTTTTGACATTGTTTTATTTTTGAATGCAGTTATTTTTTTGGATGTAATTGTACATTTGTAAGTTTAATTTTCATGATAGAGATTGGACTACAGTACCTGTATTAGGTGAATTGAAAGATATTATTTCTTTTGTTTTTTACAGTGCAAATATTTGTAATAAAAATAAATATAAAGTGAGCACTGTCCACTTTGTATTTTGTGTTGTAATTGAAATCAATATATATATATGAAAATGAAGAAAACATCCAAAAATATTTAAATAAATTATATTCTGTTATTGTTTAACAGTGCAATTAATTGCAATTAATTTTTTTAATTACATGATTAATCGATTAATTTTTGTAATTGCTGGACAGCCCTCCTTATTATAAGTTTACTATGAGCTCAGTAATGGGTTTATTGATCACTGTTTGATTCAGTATTTTTATTTTTTACAGGGAAGGGCATTCTTGTTGAGGGGTACATTCTGTGGCTCACAGAAAATTCTCGAGTCATTTCTGCAGCCATAAAATTTCAGCAAATGCAAGGTTCTAAATGTGATCTGAACTTGAAGGGCTAGTCTTTGGTTTGTTTCTCTAGAATGTTTGTTTCATTTTCATTCATTTGGAGGAGCTGTGGGCATTTTGGGTTGAATGTAAAATTTATTTTTAAAATATGAATTAAATATTCATAAGTTAAGATCACCTTTTTCTCTTAAATCACTTCAATTTTATTTTCAAAGGTTTTTTATTTAAAATGTGTTACAAAATGTTTCCATTTCTTTAAGGAGTCAAAAGAGGAACAGTGGAAACGAGCTATGGACTATCTCAATATTGTCAGTGAACTCAATTACATGACCCAGATTGTTATCATGCTGTATGAGGATCCAAACAAGGTAAGTAAATAAAATTGATAAATATGTACAGAAATATGATTAGTTCAAACTGTGTTTTAAAGAGTAGATATTCATTGTCTTTAGGAACTTTCTTCAGAGGAACGTTTTCATGTGGAGCTTCACTTTAGTCCCGGAGCTAAAGGCTGTGAAGAGGATAAAAACTTACCAGCTGGTTTTGGATATAGACCTGCCTCCCGAGAGGTAATACTTCTGGCATACTTAGATCAAAAGTTCAAGGATTCTCTGTTCATGAATATGTTCCAATAACTTTTGTGTTAATCACTGGAGAATTAGTTAAAAAGAACGACGCATGATTTTGAATTAACTTTGTGTGTATTGTATGCATATAAAAAAATAAACTAGTGTACTATGAGTAACAGTTATAGTCATAATTCAGGCCCTCTGATTTCAAATAGATACTTTACTTCAATAAAAGGTGTATACTCACCTCATTTGTTTTTACTGCCTTTGTAATTGCAACCTTTTATGGTTTTGCCTAATTTGTTGTTGGAGATAGTCCTGTTTCTCCAATGTTCTGACAAATGCATAAGAAAAAATATTAATTGGAATTTTGGGGAATATTGGCTAGTGAGACTAGATTATATTTTTCAGTTTGTATCTGTGTACATCTATATAGTTAAACAATTTGGTGTTACAAATGTTAAGACTCCGTGGGTGAAATACTGCCCCCATTGAAGTCTGTGGGAGTTTTGCCATTGACTTAAATGGAACCAGGATTTTACCCTTTACATATTCAGTGAAACATGTAAGAAGACATGGTGGTGTAAGCAATGATATGGTCACATTGTCACATGTTGTAGAAGAGAGTTAAAGTAGCAAATTCTTTTTCTAGGTATATAAAAAACAGTATTTGTATGGTTTAAGAACCTTGTGTCACCAAACTTCATGCATATAATTAATGCTTTACAACATAAAAAAATGCTTAAATTATTCTATAACTGATTTCCTTAATGGATTTCCATGTCCAAATAGTACAACGTATGTAGATAACTTGAACAGGTAATATCTTTACTTGTAGAATGAAGGCTCAAAGAAAATCTGCCATAAAAATGATAGTGATGAGGAGTCACATACTTCTAAAAGGGATGAAACGGATCGATCAGTAGTGGTATTCAAGCCAATGGTGTCAGACCCAATTCACATACACAGAAAGTCGCCCCTTCCAAGATCCAGGAAGATTGGTTCTGTTGAAGTAAGTGTTTCGGTCACGGTGCATGTCTACTGAAATGAATTCTTCATTTACTTCTAACAAAAAGTAAAGACTATTCTGTTTTTGATTACACAAAAATAGAATGGTGTCATTCCTCTCAAAGTGGTGCTGTTATTCCATGGGAAATTCTCCATGGCAATGGTTGTCTGAAAGGAATTTCAGAAACAGCATATGACTGTTGGGCCATATAAATTCTTTTTCTTTCCTTTAGTATTTCAAATCTTATTATATAACTTTTATTCTATGACAATGAAGATGCACATTTTTTTGTCTCAACTCTTTCTTCTCCAAGCTGACTAACGTACATTGCTTGCATATGCATTCTCACAAGACTGCTGCTAATGGAAACAAAATATTGAGCTTTTTCATTTGTGGGGATTGGGGTGGGGGAAGGAGAGGTGGCTGCAAGAAAATTTCGCCATCTACAATTAACTTTCATAGGGAGCAGCTGATTCCAGTGGCACAGTGGTTGAAGGTAAGAGAGCAAATTGGCAGCATGCTTTGAGGGGCAGGGAATGTGTGTTTTCCAGAGTCTTCAGATAAGTGCCCTAAGACTTTCTGTGCTCCCGGTATAAAGGCCATGACACCAAGGAGTTGAGAAACTGTCATAAAAGGTGCTCTAACATCACAATAGTGGGGCAAGTCAGTGATGATTCAGTGTATGCCATTAATATGGCTGAACAGTAAAGACTCTGTTGGTGCACACTAGTACCTCAGTGACACTGAGGGTAGGTTTACACTTAAAATACCACAGTGGCATAGCTGCACCGGTGTAGCTGCACTGCTGTAGCACTTCCCTGAAGACGCTCCTACCCTGAGGGGAGAGCTACTCCTGTTGGTGTAGTTAATCCACCTCTGCAAGAGATGATAGCTATGTCAATGGGAGAAGCCCTGTTTGGGGCTGTTTACACCGGGGAGTAGGTTGGTATAATTGCATTGCTCAGGGGTATGGATTTTTCACACCTTTGAGGGACATAGTTACAACAATGTAAGTTTATAGTGTAGACCTGGCCTGACACTAGAACATAAAATGTGCAGTTTACTACCTTATTCTCAGTTGCTTAAAACCTCAAAGAACTGTATGCCCTTTTCCCTGCATATTGTCTCAGGAATAGGTGCTTATATAGAATGGGTACCTCAATAGTAAGAATTCCAAGTAACTTGGTTACTGTCAACATGTGGAGAATAATACGGATGGTTTTGTTTTATTATGATCCATATATAACATAAAAAAATTAAGAGGTGATATTTGTGAATGTATTGCAGGGTTGCATTTCCTGTTTTAACATAAGCAATGGAGGAGTAATATCAATGTTTTTGAAAGTGGCTTTCATTCTGATCATGCAAGCTCCCTTCCTAGAGAGAAGTTCACGTGCAGTTTTATAGTATTTCAAATTTTTAACCATTTTCATTCTCTGTAAATTTTCAGAAGCTGCTTTCAAGAGGTATTATTGATATGCATTGCTAAACTTTGACTTTCAGCAGGTAAAACATTCAAGTAGAATCTGTTCCAGCATCCAGCTTTTATGGAAATTCTAAATTTTTACTTCCTATTGAATAATAGTCTTTGATTTTACTCATATAGCTGTGAAAGTTTGTGCAAAAAAGGTAAATTGGAAGAGCTAATATATTTGTGTCTGCCCTCACTGAAATCTGCAAAACAGTCTTTGAAGAATTTTGACCAATTGGTATCTTGAAAGTATAGTTTGACTTCATCTTAAATTGCCTTAGTATTATTTTTTTTAAAGATAAGACTCTTTCCACTCCAGTTCATTCATTTAAAGGGACACTGTCAGGTAGTTTGGGCTCAACCTAAGTCTTTTTTTTTTTTTTTTAATTTTTATAATCTGTAGTAAAATAAATTTAAAGTTTTGAATTTTATGTGGGTTATAGTCTTCAGAAGGGTCTAATACAAACATGGCTGCATTGTACTAGTGCATGGAGAAAGAAATGAAGTTGAGTAGTCTCATTTCCTTGAGCTTACAATTAAATGGAAAAACTAAAGAATATAAATTGTGAGAAACAAATTTATATTTCTAAAAAGGTTCAGTGTTGTTTAATCTAGGTGGTATTAACACAGGTAGAAGAATATTGCTTTTTTTTGCCTGACATTGTCCCTTGAAATTTCTTTCTACTCTTTGGCGCCAGAAGTTCCTTAGTGCTTTAAGGTTAAGAAATCCTTCTTGCCACTCCTCGGGGGTCAGTCATGTAATCTCCAGTCCCATTCCAAAATCCTCTGGCTCTTTGAAATAAGTGGTAGTACTTTAAATGCAAAAGAAAAATCTATTAAATAACAGATAGAAAAGCTTACCATACGTTGAAGGGGGAAAAACTATTAAACAGTATGTTCAGAGTAACACATGTGTTCTGTTACCAGTTCATTTTTAAAGCTGTGGACCAGTTTTTGACTACCATTGTTCTTCTATCTTGCTATTGGTAAAATTGTAGTCTACCAGAAACTTGGTGAAAGTAGTAGATTAAAAGATGTAGTTTGAAATGTTAGTTATTCCTAATTACTGTTTAATAGTTTTAAAGCTGTATATGAAAGAGTGCAAACAAACTGTATTTTTTTTTTCTGATCACTGGCTCTGTGGAATCTAACTTTGCATGATTTGCTGTTTTTTTGCCCCCTTTCTCACTTCCAGGAAGAGAGCCCCCTGAGTGTGTCTAGCCCAGAGTGTATTGGTACCTGGCTGCATTACACCAGTGGTGTGGGTACTGGGCGTCGAAGACGCAGATCAGGGGAACAAATCACTTCTTCCCCTGTCTCCCCTAAATCATTGGCTTTCACATCCAGTATTTTTGGCTCATGGCAACAGGTTTTTAAACTTTACTTCATTAAACATTATTATGCATTCCAAGCAGCAACCAACTGTCTTTAAGGACATCTAATCCCTTGTTATGGATTACATTCCAAGTAAATTCTTACACTTGTCATTAAAATGCACTTTTAAAAATACTAGTTACTTCCAAGAATATTGGGGGAGGAAGGAGGAGAAAGCAAATGCATGTTTTTCACAGAATTTTCACTGAATTAGATATTTCCACAGTGAATTAGTTTTTTTTACAGGAATTGTAAACATTAACGCTCCAGAAAAGGCATAGACTACTGTCTAATGAAACTGACTTCAGCTTTGGCTTAGTTGTCCTTTAAGACTTTAAAAACAGCATTGCTTAATTTGGTGGTAGGTAAATTGAAACTTTTTTTAAATAAATGACAGACGATGCCACTTAAAATAATTGATGTGGGGTCTGATATCACTATTCAAAACTTGTTTTGTATAGATCATATTTTCAGTGGCCTGGTATTAACTGAGCAGGAAACAAACTCTAGCACTAACCATTCTTGCCTTCACTCCTATATCTGGAGATATCTAATTAAAAAATCAAACACAGTACTTCATCCATTGAATTGTACAATATTTTGAAGACTTTTGTCTAAATATTGGGGAAAGAGCAGGACAAATGACACAGTCAAAATATCGGTGACGATCTAAAGATTGCTCAATTCAAAATATTGTCTGTATATAGGACAATGGATGGTGTTCTAACCATGCCCGTTTCTTTTTCTAAGAGTTTCAATAATTTCCATTTCCTTTTTGGAAATTTAAGGAACTTGTATATGGTAAAAGAGTGTATCAGTAAAGGCTGTGAGCATCTGAAGGCTATGCTGATAGAGCCCGTGCATGGATCAGTGACTGTATGGTGACTTCAACAGCCTGTCTGTCTTTCCTTCCCCGCTCCCATTCCCCTTTCAATACAGGAGCAGTTTAGGAGTGTGCATTTGGTAAAATAAAGTAAAATCTATCTCAACTGTCTGTGGTTTCATCTCTGTCTTGGTCTGTGTTCTTTTTAATTCTGAATGCCCGCTTTGCACCACCTCATTGCAAGGACTTCATATGTGAAATGGACTCCCTTCACAAGGGGATATTGCATGATCTTTCATATTTCGTTTATGTATTTCTACTAACATTTATCATACAGCTTATTAACACTTGTCGGTCTGGAGCAGGCCAATATATCAAGTTTAGTGGACACTTCATGCTGCTATTCTATTTTTTTCTTATTTTTCTGTTTTCCATATGCAGGTCCTCTCGGAGAACAATAGTAACTTACGAACACCAAGAACTATTCTGGAACAAAAGCAGAGTGGTTTAGGTATGTACATGCAATTGAAATTTTGTTTCAAGTAAGCAGATTTTCCAATGCTTTTTGTTTTGCACACAGATATATGATCTTGGATTTTTAAAACTCTTGTGTAAACAAGAGCAAAAAGTATTTTGAATATAATAGTATCTACTAATTCATTGGGACAGTATAACCCACTGAGTTGACCAATATTTCAGCAGAAAAAGTTCTTTTAATGGAAACAGGATCTTAGGGAACAGTAAAACAATTGAGACTGTTCACTGATTCTTTACTCTGACCAAAGAAAGTTCTCAGGGTTATTTTTAATTTTAAATTATGACTGACATGTTAATATTTTTGTGGAATTCTTTGATTAAGCAAAAGCCCCAGTATGCAAACTGTTACAAATACTTCTCAAGCGAAAATAAATGTCTTCTCCTGTGGTCAGTTAAGACAACTGAAGAGATACTAGTGGGTGCAAAGAAACCCCAGCCTCCTGTCCTTCACCAAGAAACTTTAGTTTCTAATGAGAGACTGAGGTTTTTGCACCTCCCTCTTATTCCCGCCCTCAAATATTCCTATCAATGGACAGAATAATTAATTTTAACTGTGAATTATAACATCTTAACTTGCTTTAATTCAGGAAATGTTCTTCTGCTGTTATCATGAAACAGGCATTACGGTTATTATGCATTAGATAGGAAATCTTGTGCTACTGTAAGTTAGTTGTATCTTTTTCTGTAAATGCAAAAAATTGTCTGTTTTCAGAAATAACTAACTCAGGACACATTAAACAAAACACACACATAAATACTGTACATTGCACGTTAGAAGTAAAAGTTCCACTATCTTTCCATTTAAGGCTTTGTACTTATTTGTATGTCTTATTGTTATGATATTCTTACTCCTGTTACATTTTCCTAGTAAAATGTATACATCTTGTGGTCTTGACTACTGAAGCCAATCTTTCTAACTTTTTGCTAAAATTATAGTACCCTTCTTCGATGTGACACAGTATAGTTTGTAGAAGCTGTTACATTTGCATGCATAGTTGAAGGTATTACTTTGTTGAAAAGGCTTTTGCCATAGACCAGGCACCAATTTATATCAGCCATGATTCATCACATGTACTACTAACGTTTCCCATTGTTGGAAGGCAATAAATCAGTGGGTAGGTGGCTGTTTTTAAATATCCTGCCATGTATATGAAATACAGACAATGAAATCTGAACTGGGCCTCCATCAAGTAATAACATTGGCTTTACAGAATAATAATGAAGATTAAAGGAAAATACAAATTCTAGACAGAGTAATTTCTTCCCATTTTCTTAATTTGGATGAGATTTTCATAGTATGGTGGACTATGTAAACAAAATGTCTTCACACTTAAGTGTATGAATGGTATTTCATCAATTACTTGTTAAACCACTTGTAATGGTAAAATTGTTCATGATTGGGCAACAAAAGTATACAGGTTTTTTACATGGAGGACTACTTAATACAAGGGTCTTCTTTAGGAAAGAAGTGAAGCTAAACCTGGTGAAACTTCTGCTTTAAAATTCTATAGTTGGCTGTGACAATAGCTGAAATACCGATACAAGAATGGATAATTTGGTTAACTTGTTTCATGTTAAATCATGAGTGATGGAAAGTGAAATTTTTCTGTGAAAAGTCTGAGGAAAATGTGTGAGTACTTGAAGTTACAGACTGCCATGTCAAGGGGGTCAATTTCCATGAAATCAATAAGCAAGATTTGCCAGGTTATATTTGTTTCAGAACTGCAGGTTCTAAAACATGTAACTTCCATGTCTTTTTTATTTATTTATTTATTTATTTACGTTGATGCTAACTGGTAATTTTTATTTACCGAACCTGACAACGGGAAATGAAGTCCCTTTGTTAAAGTCCAGTCCTCTCTAGTCACATGTAGCAGAGGGTGGTCAAATGTGTAGAAGTTACAATAAACTATGGTAGTTACAACCACTGTGACATTATAAGCATATTGTGAACTGTTCAAGGCACTGCCAAAGGCTGCCTTTTGTGTGGTAAGAGCCATGTGCTTGCATGCTGCATGCATCCCCAATGTGAATGGAAGAGCACCTGGTTGTTGTATGTATTTTCTCTAACTCCCATCAGGGTCTCACTGTGCGGGCCTGTTTAGCACCTCAGTACTCGGGGGTTCTTCAAGCGCACCTAACCTACAGGATTATGCTCGTACTCAACGTAAAAAGCTGACTTCTTCTGGCTGCATAGATGGTATGTGCACACTCTCTCAGATGCACACACAAATCCATGTGCACACATTGAAGTTCTAAAGATGAACCCTAGGCTACTGATTCAGTGGAATCGTAGAATCCTTTGTCTTAGTATTAATTAATTGTACGACTTTCTACTGCCTCTTTACTGCCCATAGCTTGGTTATATTAGTTTAATGACACAGTTAATCCTTATTCCTGGCTTCTCTATTTGGTGTACCGTGTAGACAATATACATTGAAAGATTTTCAGCATGTACAGTTTAAGAACAATGAAGAGGTGAAAATGTAGTTGGAAGTGCTCATCACTTAAGCCTCTGATTTTGATAATTAGGTATTGACATTGAATTGAAACATATTACATTGCATGCAGAATTTACAAGGACTCAAAAGGAAAAGACCAGCTTGATATTACTGAGTGAAAATTTTAGGATTCCTTTTTGGTGGGTGTGTGGCTGTGGATAGAGGAGTGATAGGTTTTAGGCTTCAGTAATCTTGGGTAGAATAGCTTTCACAGCAGGCTTCAGCATTTAAAGAAAATGTGCTAATTTACTTTTTTAACACTAAGCGTCGAGCAGTATTAATGTAATTTTTTCCAACATTCACTCTTCTCAATGTTCAGCTCTAACCAGATATAACTTTGTATGCCAAAATCACCAGCTCATCCTGCTTTTCTTTCATACACTTTATTAAATACCTTGCAGTTATCAATGAAGCCACATTTTCTACTTTTAACCTCTTTTTGGCCTCTGTCCCTTTCCCCTGGTCCTTTCTGCATGCCACTTAATTCTAACGTTTTCATCTTTTTTCTTCTTTCCTTTTTTGAAATGTGTCCCTCTTTTGGTAGCTGTTATGAATTTCAGGTACCTGTTTTTCTCTTTCTCAGACACCACACGTGGTTCTGCTGTTAAAAGATTTTCTATCTCATTTGCTCGACACCCAACCAATGGTATGTTTTGCTTTTATTTAAAAAAAAAAAAAAATCCCTTGCTTCATCCCTTAATTTCATTTTATTTCAAATACGGGGTGTACAGTTTCGTCCAATCATTTGTCCTTCCTAACTTCAACCAAGCACAGTTCCAAACATATTCATAATCACTAGATACATTGATATAGTCTTAAATACCTCCTTTATTATTCATTTATATAAATATGATTTCAAAATTCACTCATCAGAAAATCTTGTGAAAATGGAAATATTGCTTATAATCATGAATTCTTTGACAATTTGCATTCTTTCCAGTGTCTCAAATGATCAGACTGTGTATGGTATATGATAAAAACAAACTTTTCTGATCTTGAATGGCATATACTTCTCAATAGTTTAACATTCCACTTCTTGCTCTTCCTGCTGCTGCGCTCCACTGTTTCCCTGAGCCTTCTGAATCTAGATAAAATCACAGTACCTGACAACAGGCGTTTGCTACCATCTTCTTGAAGTGTCACTTGATTAAAAAGTAAACTAAAATGTAGGATCCATTTCAGTTAATCTGCAGTTCTGATGACTGAACAGAAAAACTGCTACTTATCCTTGTCATACTTAATGATCAATATGTTCATCACGTATGCCAGTTACTTGAATACTTCACTAATAATCAGTTAGAGTTGACTTCGTCTTGTGTTGACCTCTTGAACTCTATGGTGAAAGCTAACTCATCTCCAGTCTACCATATTTTAATGAAGCCTATCTTAACATATGCAAGTTGAAAGTATGAAATATGTTACTCATTACTTTCTAGCTCACTACATAGGCCCTATAGCATGCCCTTTTCATAGAAGTTGGCTTCAATCTTCAGCAATTATCACATCTTAGTGTAGATTTTTTCCAGATTTTTTTAATTACCATTTTAAAACTGACACAATACAGTGGCAGGGTAATAAGGTCCTGCCATTGAAAGTGAAGTGAAAATAGCCATAAAGATCTGTGCTATTGACCTCCAACAAACATTTTACTTAAAAGATGGTTCAGGTTAAAAAAACAAAAGAAAAAGCATAGTTCTCACTTTGTTTTGCTTCTGAATAAAGTCATGAAGTAGTACTTAAAATATTGTATCCATTTGGAATTTTTAGTCAATTTTTTACTGCAGTGGCTTCCTGAAGAAAGTGTTTAGTATAAACTGTTAGAACCATCACCAAACCTACAGTTATTAAAAAGGTTGTAAAAGGCTGACTTAAACATCATCCTTGAAAATGAGAAAGGTGGGCCTTACTCTATATTAAAATCAAGTCAGATAATCTAAACAAAAGAGATGTACTTAAAAACTCAGTGTTGGCAAAACATTTGAAAGTTGGAAGGTGAGACTAGATTCACGGTGTAGAATCTGTTATGTAACAGTTTCAAAAAATTCGTTCTAAAGGGAACAGGCAGCAACAAACTTTTTGTAACTGGATAATTTTTTAATAAAAATCTCTATTTAAACACAATTACTTTATTGTGTACATTGTGTATTCTGATTCATTTAATATAAATATTTTTCCACATACCTTTTACAATTTAACGCATGCCACATGTGCTCCTGTGAATCCTAAATGCATTCCCTGAGGTGTTCCAGGTTCCCAAGTGTTCTCTACCAACTTTTTAAAATTATCGTTGTTTGTCTGTCTTCTGGACTGTCATTTAATTCTCCCTTTCACTCTTTTATTTCCATAACTTTGTGATGTCATTACAACCTCTAACCCATTTCACAGACACTCTCCACCCCCTTATTTTCCACCCCCCCCTTGCCCCTTCATCTTTTAATTCAAGGAACACATTGAAACAAGTAATCTGACAGTGCTTTACCTTATTTTGTGGGGCTCTATGCAGAACATCCACACCTCTTTAGTGCTGGTCCATTTCCTCTGTGGAATTTCTAGGCGCCAGTGGTATGTGTTTCTAGCTATTAAATGTAAGACAGTAGGATGACTTTTTAAATTGCTGTGTTAACCCTTTCGTTGTCTTGTATTTTGAAGGGGTTACAGGTGAATACAACCAAAACCCAAGGGTGGGTAGTTGGCAGGCACATATATTATTTAAAGGGATATACACTGTCAGGCATTTTTGGCTAAAAATTGTTTTATAAAGACAACCTATTTAAAAGACATAATATGGGTAAGTGGGTTTCTGTGGTATTTGTTTAAAAAGCCATTAAAAAGTTACTAGTTTTATTTGAGTGGTCTGGGTAAATGAAATTTCAAAAAGTAAACATAAATAGTTCTTCTAAAATTTTCTTTGAAAATTCCTATGGATTTTCTATAACAGCTGTTACCATAGTAGTATTAATAATAATCATCATCATGAATAGGCATTGAAACATAAGTAGGTTTGTTTTTGGTTTTTTTAAAGCATGTGTCATGACCTAACTTGACATTGTCCCACTAAATTGTTTGTTAGACTAAAATGTAAATATTTTGGAAAACATTTTTGTGCTGTTAACACTTTCGTTAGCTTAAAATTTAAATCTGGTGGAACTTACTGTAATGCAAAGAAAGGGTTTGCGCTTTGCACGCATGCATAATATTTTTAGTATCTTACACTTATGCCAAACACATTTATTTTAATGCTTATACTGCAGCTTAGCTGCTGTCATATTAAAGAAAGTATACATGACGTTGTGTGGTGGTGTTTGTTTTGCACATGACATCTGAGTTTCTAAAAACATGCAACATTAGAACTGTTATAGGGTAAGTGAAGCTGATTTAAGTACCCTTAAACAGCTTGCTTAGCAGGATTGGCTCTCATTTGAATCCAAGGCTGGGTCCAAATATGAATACAAAAGTTCTTGAGTTGAAATTTTGTAGAATTATTTTCTCTGTAAATGCTTAGCAATGTTTTTTGAGGAAGTTCACATATTGATACCTTTACAAAGGTATCAGGAGAGAGATCACTTGATCATTACCTGTTAGGTTCAATCCCTCTGGGGCACCTGGCATTGGCCACTGTCGGTAGACAGGATACTGGGCTGGATGGACCTTTGGTCTGACCCAGTCAGGCCATTCTTATGTTTTATGTTTAAAAAGAAATGTACCTTGAACAGAAATTTTGGACATTCTTTAAGTATTGTCTTTTCATTGAAATAAACATCTCGGAAGAAATATACCAATTTCTAATTTTTCAGTTCAATACTGTAAATTTAATGTTGCAGCTGTATATAAGAATGCTAATGTGGACTAGTGTCTCCTCTTTTGAAATACTGTGAGATGCAGATTTCATTGAATGCTATCAAGCTTACATCAGTTCACAAAACTGCACTATTAAGCATAGATATGTATTTTAAATGCTTTGTTTTATTTCATTAGGAATAAAAACGTGCATGGCTGGTTTATGAAATGTCAATATGTCTATACTAATATTGGGAAACAAAATTAATAATACTTCAATTTTGACTTGGTATCATTTGCCATTTTAAGTTGTGAAATTTCTAGTGATATAAATCATTGTTTTAGTAAAGATAGGTATAAATGTTTGTTATAAAATTAAAATATAGTCTCAAGGTAAAAAAATGCTGGTAGTGGTCTTGGAGGACCTTAAAGTGGAAACCTAAAGCAAGTCTTGTCCCTAGGATACCTGAGAGGCTAGAGAGTGTATGCTACAAGGCATTGCCTGTCAGGAATGCCAATGTTTTTAGCTGTTCTCTGTCAGAGCAACTTAGTTAAAAATGTTCACAGCATGACCACGCTGCTACTCCATCTTGAATGAATTAGTTACCTATATGTTGTTATGACCGGTATGGGAACAAGTAGGGAAAATACTGACATTCCCCACCTTTTTTAATGATTGAATAAGTTTGTCTGGAACAGTAGTTAACTTCCTGTACTGAGCAAAGACTAAAGCAAAGATATATTTTGTATCTGTGTACACTGATTTATGTGGACATGGGTATTGTAGTCTGTAGTACGCTATCTTGAGCTTACTATATGATGGAATCTGACATACCTTGTTCTAACTCCATATTGCATAGCATTTTATGTCATGACTTCAAGGATATTGTATGTTTGCATGTTTTGATATCAGACATGTACTTTATGTTCATTTTTATGCAGTGTTTCCTGTCTGTACAACAGTTCCATTCTGGTCTTATTTCTAATGTTTGGAAATCCTCTCTCTCTCTTTATTTTTGTAGGTTTTGAACTATATTCCATGGTGCCTTCCATCTGCCCTCTAGAAACCCTGCACAACTCCCTGTCTTTAAAGCAGGTGGATGAATTTCTTGCCTCCATTGCTGCTACTTCAAGTGACAACCTACCGGAGATGTCTGCTGCTCTATGTTGTAATTCATTTTTTTTACTGTAAACCATAAACACTATTGGTCATAGTTGATCCATAGGCCATTTCTCAAAGTGAACAGATCAAAACGATTATCAGTGACTGGATGACTAACCTAGCGAATATCAGTGTAAATGGGGTAGGATATGAGGCTAAAATATGGACAAAACAAATTAAGAATTACTTAGCAAATTCATAGGTCTTCGAGTCAGCAGGTCCTGATGAAATGTGTCCTAGAATACTTAAGGAACTGGCTGAAGAAATCTCTGAACCATAAGCAATTCTCTTTGAGAATTCATGGAGGACAGGAGAGATCCCAGAGGATCCGAAAAGGGCAAACATAGTACTGGTCTATAAAAATGGGAATAAGGACAACTCAGGGAATTATGAACCAGACAGCTTAATTTTGGTACCCAGAAAGATAATTGAGCAAATAATCAAACAATCACTTTGTAAGCACCTAGAAGAAAATAAGCTGATAAGTAACAGTCAACATGGATTTGTCAAGAACAAATCATGTCAAACCAACTGGGTAACAAAGTTTGTGGATGAGGGAGAGCAGCACACATGCTATATCTCGACTTTAAGGCTTTTGTCACTGTCTCACATGACCTTCTTATAAACAAACTAGTGAAATATAGCCTAGACCAATGGTAGCCAATTATTTTTTGGCAAGGTTCAAATTTCTTGGTCAAGGTATAGTCAAAGTCCGGGCTCCGGAGAAAATAATAACAATTTAAAAAGATAAATAAATAAAAAGATTGGGGGCCATTCAGAAGTGTCTGGCGGTCTGGATTTGGCCTGTGGTCCACCTATTGACTATCCCTGACCTAGATAAACTTACTACTGTGAGGGAGAGTGTACAACTGGTTGGAAAACCGTACTCAAAGTAGTTAAGTGGTTCACAGTCAAGTTGGAAAGGCATATTAAGTGGTTCCCACAGAGATCTGTCCTAGGTCTGGTTCTAGTCAATGTCTTCATAAATGACTTGGATAATGGTATAGAGAGTATACTTACAAAGTTTGTGGACAATACCAAACTGGGAGGCATTGCAAGCAGTGTGGAGGACAATTCAAAGTGATCTTGACAAAATGGTCTGAAATAAAATAGGGTGAAATTCAGTAAGGACAAATGCGAAGTACTACATGTAGGAAGGAATAATCAACTGCACAAATACCAAATGGGAAATGACTGCCTAAGGAGGAGTTCTGCAGAAAAGGATCTGGGGTTTATAGAGGATCACAAACTAAATATGAGTCGACAATGTAATACTGTTGTAAAAAAAAGTGAACATTATTCTGGGATGTGTGAGCAGGAGTTTTAACTGGAGTAGTGTGCACCACACTCATGGAGTAGTGGTCACCACATTCATGGAAAGATGTGATCAAATTGGAGAGAGTTCAGAAGAGAGCAACAAAAATGATTAAAGGTCTAAAAATCATGACCTAAGAGGAAATATTGAAAAAACTGGGTTTGTTTCGTCTGGAAAAGAGAAGACTGAGGAAGTACATAAGTCTTCAAGTATGTAAAAGGTGGTTATAAAGAGGAGGGTGATACATTGTTGTTCACTGAGGACAGGACAAGAAGTAATGGGTCTAAATTGCAGCAAGGGAGATTTAGGTTAGATGTTAAGAAAATCATCTTAACTGGAAGGGTAGTTAAGCACTGGAACAAATTACCTGGGGGAGGGTGTTGTGGAATCTCAATCATTGGGGCCGGGGGTTAAGAACAGGTTGACAAAGAGCTGTCAGGGATGGGCTAGATAATACTTAGTCCTGCCTCAGTGCAGGGGACTGGACTAGATGACCTATTGAGGTCCCTTCCAGTCCTATATTTCTATGATTCTATAATTTACCGAAAACGTTAATCAACTCTTAATATGTTTGAAGTACTTTTTCACTATGTGGTCATTGGTTTCTTTGGAATATGGCAAACTTGGGAACATTATCATACTTGAGCCAATTAATCATTCTCTTATTTTAGTGAAAACACTCTCCCACCCACATTATTGCAAATCTGGAATGCAGGGGAAAATCAATTTTACTAGTGTCAAATATGCAGTACTTGTGGCTTACACTACATTTCCACGTTGGATGTAATTTGTTACAGAATATCTGTTAATGCCAATGTTAACTAAACCAAACTTAAATGTGTTGTGCATCTTGTATGCTTTGTGGTATGTGTATTATGGCAAACAGATGTTAAACTACACAGTTAACCAGAAATACAGGAATAGAAAATATGGTATGTTCAACCTGGCTGAGCTAATGTTCCTTCTAGAACCATAACATCTGTATTTCCTGTTTCTTTTTTTATTATTGAATCTGAATGTTCCACATGCACAATATCTTTTCATTTAATTTTCTTTCTATAAAAGATTCCCTATGCTACGTTTGTTTAAATGGTCCAGAATAGAACTTCAAGTTTGCATCTTGTTGATGTGAATGTACTGGGGATGATTGCCTTCCACTGTGTCTCTGTTGCTGCTTCTCTTGAAACAGTTTTCTGCAATGCTAGACTTGCAAGATGTGTGGTTTTCACTTTGATATTTATACTTTTTGTGTAGGGTGAAAGGGGAAATGTAAACTTTTGAGGGGCACGTAAAGAAATTATACTACTTGTGGTAAAAATTGTACTTGCTATTCTTTGATATAGTATAACAAACAAGATTGGTTTCCTCTTTCTAGTGTTTTTACTTTGACAGCACTTTATGAATAGTCCGTTTCATTTTTTACCCAGTGTAGTCAATTCCCCATCTTGTTTTATGTGTCTTTTATACATGAACAGATGGAGAAACATTTTTTTGAAATAGAAAAATGATTGTAAAATGTACACGGAGGCTCACCAGCAGGTATACTACATTTAGGGGGAAAAAGGAGGTTTTAAGCGGATAGTGTCCCTTTAAAATGCAATCTTAATTTTCAGGATTCATTAGAAAAATAATTGTCATTTGCGATGTTGAGAGAAAACCTAGAGGGCTTGCCATCTAGAGTTTGAGACCTTAAAGAATTAAATGGTTAACTGTTGGAAAGGAAGTGGGTCAGGTTGCCCTGTTTTTTGAGGGAGTGTTTGGCAGTTGGAAGGAGGAGGGAGTCTTAATTAGTGGCTATGGGAAAGGGCTCCCCTGTGGGTATGGAGTTGGCTTTTATTGGTAACAAGTTTTGGTACTTGGGAGGAAGGGTCAGTGCTCTTGTTACTGACAGGATGGAGCATGAATGCTTTTGGCAGCGGAAAGAAGTATTTTTCCCCACCCTATTTCCCTTTGGGGAGAATTCATTTGTGTGTGGACTCTTTTTTTTTTTTTTGGTCCTCTTCCAAATGTCTATTTGCTCCATTATAGGCTTGTTAATTAAATGTCTCAGACTAGGTAGAGCAAACAAAATGCCAGTCCTCGCAGCATTACGTGCCCTGTCAAAAGTCAGGAGCACTTCTGGCAAAGCAACACTCGCTGTTCATTTAACCTGATTATTCCTGGCACTGTGAAGCTCTTGTGTTGCTTTCTTAAGATGGATCAGGCAGATTTCATCTCCTTCCCCACACTATGAAGCCACAATAAAGACCAAAAACCCAAAATCCATGGCTGGATTCCAGATTCCATAAGTATAGACTTTGTGCCTTTTTTTCATTTTGGTAATCTGCAAATACTTGACAAACGTTTTGTTCATGATGGTAAAGACGACCTTTCTCCCCCCCCCCTTCAGCTTCAGCGTATTTGAGTTCACTGTCTGGAAGAAAAAGTTCTTTAAATACATACACCCCTGCAAAAATCCAGCCAACACCACTTGCAGCCTTGCCTGAGAGGCTAGCAATAGAGAAACCAGCCTTATGTAAGTAACTTCTGTCACAGAGGCAGAACAGCTCATTCTTTTGCTTAAATATACCCAATAGTTATTCAAGATGCAAAGATTTGTTACATATTTAAGATAGTGTGCCATCTACCTGTTGAATAATTTCTTCAAGAATGTTATGAAATAGCATCCCTATCCTTGTATTTGGAATCATTCAGATAGTCACAAAATAAATTCATTAAGGCATTGTACAGTTACTTTAAAAATAACACTTCAGCAATAATGGCTGAACTGTGGCCTCCACAGAATACAGATGTAGTGTACCCTGGTGGTTACAAACAAACTTTCAAATTGTATTCAGGTGACTTGGTGGCAGTCAATCTGCAGTTAGGACTAGACTTCCAGATTTAGACTCAAGTCAGTTAGACACAGTGTGTTTAATAATAAAAAAAAAAAAGGCAGCAACACACAAATATTTTGGTGATAAAGGCAGTTTTAATGTACTATGGCTCTTCAGAAATCTAGTATCTCTGATGATCGTCCTAATGCAAACGTATAATCGAGCTACTGTGTGTTAAATAAATCAGCAGAGAGGAAAGGATCATTCCACCCATGCAGGTGAAGGTCTGAGTAGTGTCCCACGGCTCCCAATAGCCCCATAGGCTTTAGATTTTAGTTTTGATGGGTTAGACTTGGGCAGGCTTTAGCAATGGATATTAATCAAATTCAGTGTTTCTCCCTGTGTTAAACAGATGAAATTTAGCCTTGGAGTGACGCATACAAACAAATAAATAAAACTACCAATTAAACAAATTTTGAATCGTGACTAATTCTTTGCAGCTGTTTATCAAGTACATGAGGCACTTGTCACATTGTTATAGGATCATAGACTCATAAGATTGGAAGGGACCTTAAGGGTTCATATAGTCCAGTGCCCTGCACTCATTACAGGACTAAGTATTATCTAAACCATCCCTGACAAGTGTTTGTCTAACCTGCTCTTAAAAATCTCCAATGATGGAGATTCCACAATTTATTCCAGTGCTTAACCACCCTGACAGGAAGTTTTTCCTAATGTCCAACTTAAACCTCCCTTGTTGCAATTTAAGCCCATTGCTTCTTGTCCTATTTGATATTAATATGATCCAAATGAAACAGAGCTCTTTTTTCAGTTGCTCTTGGGTTTCTTCAAAGTGAAGCCATTTTTCTAACAATAAATTTAACCTTGTGTACAGTAAGGTTCAGATTCTAGTGACTGATCCAGTTTACAACTAAATTCTGTAAATCACAATAAATACATTATGCAACAGATGAATCATAAAGAGGGTGACTGACTTTCACCTTAATCATTTGCCAATAGATCCATTCCAGTGAAGCCATTCTCCACAGGCCCAGTGTCTATTTAAGAAACAAAAAGGTTCCTAGGTTTTTTCTAGCTCTGACTGAAATCTTTGTCAAGTTCATCCACCTTTTAATTCTTTTAGTTCAGTCTTGACAGGTTCTGTCTCCAAGAGAACCATGTCTAAATACTGAGCCCTATAAACGTAGCCTTCAAGTTCTAGATTTGCCTAGCAAGGCTCCCTCTGTGAGAGTTTGCCAACTTCTTACCCGATGTTATCCAGGAGATTTGAAAAGAAGCAGAATTGTCTTTTCTACGTGCATTTACAAAATGCTGTTCTTTAGATTTGCCCTATCTGTTACAAAATCTTCCATTTGAAGGGTCCTCAGACTTTTCTGCCCTCCCTATTTAATACTTTGGTGTTACATCTTTTTGATAGCTGTTATAACAGTGTACTTCCCAGAAATATATTTCTGGGCGGTAACTATCTTTATCCCTTCAAGATGTCTTATGTTTGTTCTTTAGGATATGTCTTGTTTAGTTTTTTGCTTCCTGTTGCAATGTGATTCCCCTCCCCCCGAGTCAACCATTTATCTTCTCCAGAGATTTAAGGGATATTGAAGTTTGTCTTCTGTCCTTTTTAATTGGCTGTTTGGGGTCTATTGTTGCTTCCTGCTTAAAAGAAGCTGACTGTTTGGAGCACTGAAGCCAGTCTAACTATCACAGCAGGAATACCATATAACTCCCCTATAGGGTCCAGTGTTTTAGAGCCTTTGGCTGAGATTTCCCACAAAGCCTATGCACAGGTACATGAATCCAAGAATTTTTATTTGTTTGACTATAACTAATCATATGAAAAACTTCAACACTATTGTAAATGACTATAGTAAAAGGTTGAACATCTTATTGGAAAAATGCCAAACTGAAACTGCCTTCTCTATCTTCAGTTTATACTAGAAATTTGCTTCAACACATTTTTAAGTTGTTTGGCTCAAGTATATACGTAAATCTCTTTAAAAATGCTGTCAAGAACAGTTTGTAAAAACTTTCCTTTATTTGTTCTACAGCTCTGAGAAGCTTGAAAATATTATTTCCCACCAATTTCCTGCCTCTTCATTAGACAGAAAGAATTGTTTGTTTTTCTGTGGCTTTCAGGGCAGCTCAGATAAATATAATTTGTTAAAATTTGTTCCCTCTTCTGACTGTCTGATTTCTATAAGAGCAGATGTTAGAGGGTTTCACAAACAGTTGCTCTTGGTGGGTTATTTTTTTCATCTGTGGCAGACTATTGAATTTCAAGAGTGAATTGTTCAACACATTGTAACAGTGTCAAAGTAGGTCTAACTTAAGTCCAAACATCTCAAAAGTTACTTAATTCACTTGTTACTTAGTGATTATAATGGGTTACCTGAATTCAGTTTACAGCAAGATTGATGTAAGTTTTAATATTGACCTTTCTTTTGCTGTACAATCTTACCAGTGTAGGGTTTTTTGCTTCTCTGCAGCTACCAGCGGACCCTCCAGTGGCACCTCTGATGTTACACCATCTCCAAAAGAATCTAGCTTGATATAAAATTTGGTGATTAAACCCTTACTGAGAAGAAATGAAGCACTTCACACAAAATTGGAAGCATCTTCCTTCAAAAACAATCTTCAGTGTGCATTTTTAATGGTAGAAAAGCAAACTAAACCTTGACTCAACTCTCCAAAGCCATTCATGTCTCTGTCTGTCTTGGTGCACTTACCTGTATATAAATTTAAATACTCTTAGCTAGTGCACACTGTATATATTCAGCTGAAAAGTCTGTTCTCATTTTCTAAAATATTTAAGGCAAAGAGGTTTACTCAGCAGTTCAATGAATTGCACAACTTTAATGAAAAAGCTGCACGCCGGTTTTCCCAGTGTCTGTTTACTATATATGTATACTAAGCAAAAAGAAAAACGCCCCAACCCAATAGTATATATTATAGTGGCTCTCAAAGCGCCATTGTAGTTGTCATTATAAACTCCTATTTTCAAGGGGTTTATAATGTGACTGTGAATTTTTTTCCTGGGCTGAAATTTGATGCACATGATCTTGGTTAGGAGCATTTTTTTATTTGAATACATTTCCAAAGAAATCGCTTGGCTCTTTGAGTTAAACAAGAGCTTCTTGCATTTGAATTTTTTAATACCATATATGCTGCAGTAACTAGGCACAATGGGGTGAAGTAAGGATAGTGTATTTTCACTTTGAATCTCCTTGTTGTTTGTTTACATCAGACTCCTAACATTTGAATATACTTTTTATTTTGTTGTTTAATATACACGGTTATATAAGGTATATGTCTGTATATCCTCCTACAGAAAAGATTTCTGTTTATATATTTTCTTATTCTAAGAAATTCTTTTGTTTACTGAAGAAGATGCCTTTATTTGCTACATAGGTTTGTTTTTTAAAAAGTCACTTAAAAAAAGGCCACATTAAAAGACAAGGTTTTTAAGGAGCGATTACAGTTGGTCTGGTATCTAACTCTAAATACCCCATCTGTAGGTGGTGCATCCTACTGCCCTTTCATATTAAAGAGAAACTGCAGTGTTACCAGAATGTTTAATGTTTCCAAGTTTATCTGACTACTTAAGCTTCAGCATTTTCTGTAATGTTCATACCATTGGCATTCTAAACGCAGCTGTTGTCAGTGGCTCTCATTAAGACTGTTGAAGACTTTATTAGAACTATGAGAAGCTTTAGCAACTCAGATTATGCTTTTAAATGGTCAGATTTTGAAGAGCAATCATCCAGGTTCAGCAGTTCTGTGCTTTCATCTGTGGCATTTAGAATTATAGAATGTATTCAAAATGTCATTGTCCCCTTTTGAAAGTTCAAGCGGCTGATTATTAATAATAACTTTATAAACTGCAAGTTAGACTTTTTTTCCAGTTTAAATTACAAGAGATCTAGTGTCAAAGAAATATTTAAGCATAAGAGCCTTGTTTTCCTTATCCAGAAATTCTCAGTGTAACTACAGTTACACTATGAACTTGCCATAGAGTCAGTACAAATCTTTAAATAGGGCACATGTGAAATGGCTTCTAGAAAATAGTCCTATTAAGTGCTGACTAAATAAATTATACCAAAAACATAAAGGGTTCACAGCTATATATTTCAAACATTTCATTTTCTATAATGTAACCATGTAGTATTGACAATGTTTGTCTTGCACACATTTGAATGTACACATCATGTTTACTGTTTTTTAAAAACACTATTAAAATTAAGCGTGCATATCATTCCAGTCAACCAAAGCTCTGGTATAAAAATTTTGATGCGCTCCTAAATAAAAAACAAGGTTAATGGCTAATTTAATGTCTCTTCTGCTTTTTCATGAATAGATAGTATCTCACTTTCTGTATATTTACCTGCTTTTTTGCTCATCCCAGTGCAAAAAAGCTGAAATAAAACATGTTTAGAAATATGAATTTGTATAAGAATTGGAGGCAGTCATGTATGTCGTCATTAAAAGCAATCATCTGAAATGGGGATAGGAGAACACTAAGCCTGTGAGTGCACTGCTGCACCCATGCAGAGCTCCTTTGACTTCTGGGGGGGTCCTTATGGGCACAGCAGTCTGTCCTCATGCAACAAACTGAAGGATCAGGGCCTAAAGTCGCTCAAATATGAAAAGGAAAAATAATTTGGACAAGATCTGGGCAAATCAAAAGTAGGGAAACAACTTCCAGAGAAACACAAATTCAGTAGAATTTCCATTAGTCTAAAAGAAGAATTAAAGAGCGGGAGGGGGGGAACCTGTCCAAACACTCAAACAGCCTACTTGTGAATCTTAGAGTAGATAGCTTCTCCTGGGGTAGCTGACTCTCAAATTTGTGTTTCAAGTAAATTCTAGAGTAGGTTACATACAGTACATTTGATGGCTAAATTTATTAAAATGTACATACTCCAGAAACATTCTGCCCTGGCATGAGATGTGGCATGTGAAAATTTGAGGTGGATTGCTTTGTTGTTGTTGAAGATAGAGATGAGCTGAAAATCTGGGTTTATAACCAAGTACTTTCAATCGTTAACTATGCAGAGGCGCTGGTCCTTGCACAAGTAAAGAATTTTTCAAAATCAGTTTTATGTCACACCCTGTCACTATCTTTAATCACTGACTCAGGGTTTTCCCCTCAGCCATAAAGCAAGCAACACAGTTTGATGTGGAGTTAGGACCAAACGAATCAGCTTCACAGTTCAAAAGCTTTGAAAATAACTTAAAAGTTGTAGGAAGTTATAAAATTACTTTACCAGTTTTTAAAAACTGAAGATTTCATAACTTTAAGTATCTTCTGGTGCTTCCAAATTGTGATGCTTATTTAGTCCTACTCGGTATCATGTGTAAGATGGCAGCTGCTTGTAATTTTATTATTTTAAGACAAATACTATTCCTTGTAACTGTTTTTTGCCCCATCCTGGTGGAATAGAATAGACCGAGGAAGCCAAAAGCACAAAGATGTGCTTCAACTGTGATGAGATCTCTCGAGCCACAGGCGGGGAGCTCTGCCATGATTGCGCCCAGCCCATAGAGTGCACCCTAATTCAATCAGTGGGATCATGACAGCTGGACTGCTTTTTTGGGGCCTCCACATCCCTTCCACAGCCACCTAGAACATCTCCAGAGACACATGCAACAGTGGATCTGTCCTTTCAACTCTTGGGATTCAGCAGAATGGACCGTCCTCACCAAGCAATGATTTTCCAGAGGTGAATTTAACAATGCAATCCACCTCTAAAGAGAGAAACTCCATTGCCAATCCCAGTTAAGTGGGAGCGAAGAGGCAAATTCATAAATTACCAATGTAGATATGGTAGTTTTAAAGTCAAGTGAATAGGTACATTCACAGGAAGACATAAAACAGAAGGACACCTATGATAGAGCTCATTGGGACCTCGTGAGAAGTGGGAGAGGGGTGGATGATAGGGACCCACCTAAAGACACTTACCTGCCATAGGGAAAGCAGGATTAAAAAATACTCCAAGGACTCCAAACTTTTATTCCCTCCCCCTCCCCAACCCAATTCTCGGGTGGTAGATGCGGTAAACGAGTGGGGTAAACAACACTACTCCAAGTCTCTGCTATATGACAAGGAACAAAAGTACTTAGCCATCTTTGGACAGATGTCCAATTCATCCGTGACCCTACAGTTTTGGATTGTAAACTATCAGGCAGTCATGGCTAAATATAATTTCACAAACTATAATAAATTTACAACCTTTATTGATGATCTTCCACAGAACAGAGGGAACAATTTCAGGTTATCATTGCAGTTGATCAGTTATTAGCCAGAACGTCACTTTAAGTGTCCTTGGATGCCACAGACACTGCTGCCAGGCCCATCTCCGCGGCAGTATTCACAGGGCATCATGGCTCCAAGTTTCAGAGTTGCCAAGAGAAGTTCAGAATATTGTTGAGGACCTCCCCTTTGATGGTCAAAAGTTGTTCTCAGAAACCACAGACCACTCTTGTCATATGCTGAAAAACTTCAGGGCCACATTAAGATCTCTGGGTATATATTGTGACGGGGCAAGGTCAGATGGCTACAGAAAAGTAGTGGGAGACCGATCTATTAGCCCCAGGCTAAACAAATCCCTGTTACCAGGATAAGTAAATGGCAGCTGTTCCAGGTCAATTAAGACACCTGGGGTCAATTAAGATCTTTCCAGAAGGCAGGAAAGATAGCTAGGTTGATTGGGATACCTGAAGCCACTTAGGGGCTGGCTGAAACTAGTTAAAAGCCTCCCACTTAGTCAGTTGGGTGCGTGTGTCAGGAGCTGTAGGAGGAAGCCATGCTGTTGGAGGAACTAAAGCAGTACAAACGATATCAGGCACAAGGAAGGAGGCCCTGAGGTAACGGTGAAGGAAATATTGAGTGGGGGCTGCTGTGGGGAAGTGGCCCAGGAAATTGTACACATCCTATTTCCAAAAAGTCCACTACCATAGCTGCTACTTTTAAAGTCCCTGGGCTGGAGCCCAGAGTAGAGGGCGGGCCCAAGCTCCCCACTCCCCTCCCCGATTAATCACTGAGATTGGGAGACAACAGAGACTGCAAGGGAGGATGGCTTCTCCTCACCTACCTTGCTGGCTTATGATGAAAAGGTCACAGCCCACTGAGCCATTTGCCTTTAGAGAGAAAAGGGCTATGTGGAGGGTCACAGTGAGCTTCTGAGGCTAGTGTAATCTGCCAGGAAGCACGGGACCCACTGAGACAAGGACAGAGCTTTGTCAAAACTGGTGTGAGGTGTGGGATCATCATTCACAGAGTGGCGGAAGAAAGAGGTTTTTTAAAAAAAAAAGTTCACTGGGGTTTTTTTGGTTTGTTTTTTGTTTTGTACCACAATGGAAGAGGTGGTAAGAGCTCTGGTACAAGCCACGGCAGCCCAGCAGGAGGCCACCCGGGTTTAGGGAATGGCACAACAGAAGTCTGTGCGGCTATAGCAAGAAACCAATAAATTATTAATGGGCCAGGCGACCCAAGATCGTGCCCTCTTGCGAGAAGTAGTGGATCAGCTGAAGATCCTCACCACCCAGGCCCGGGGGTCTGACAGGACGCAAACCCTGAGGGCCACTGGTGGTCTGCCAAAGATGACTTGGGAGATGACATAGAGGAATATCTCCTCTCATTCAAAAGGACTGCTCAGCATGAGGCGTGGTCCCAGGAGCAGTGGGCCAGCATTCTTGCCTCTTCTTTGTGCGGAGAGGCCCAGAAGGCCTACTTTGACTTGCCTGCTACAGATGCTATTGACTATACCCAGCTGAAGGCAGAGATCCTAGCACGATCAGGGGTGATGGCAGCAGTACGGGCCCAGAGGTTCAGTGAGTGGAAATACCAGGAGAACAAATCCCCGAGGTCCCAGCTATTTGACCTCATATACCTCGCACGAAAGTGGTTACAGCCTGAGGCATGCAGCCCGGAGGAGATTTTGGAGACCCTGGTCATGGACCATTACATGTGAGGACTGCCACCAGATCTCGTTAAATGGGTAGGCCAGAACGATCCGTCCACCTACGACAAGATGATTGCGCTGGTAGGAAGACAGATGATAGCCAGGGAATTGACCCAACTACCCAAGGAAGGTCTCCTTTGAAGCAAGCACCTGACCCCAACCCTGGAAGGTTGGGCAGCCAAACCCCCAGGGAGTCCTAGGTGGAAGAAGGGGGGCCGAAAACCAGCGGGGACCCCAGAAGGAAGGGATTGGCCTGAGTGAGGGGGAACCCTGGGACTTAACCCCCTGGGATAGGGGAGTGATTAGAAGCAATTATAGATGTTATGCATGCGAGGAGTGGGGAAACGTAGCAGCACAATGTCCCAGCACTGAGGAGCCTATGCAATGTAACTTGGGGGATTGGGAGGTCCGGTGCTTCCTTATCCACCTTGCAGGGGTCACTTTAGCCCCGCATAATTACACCAGGTCAGTGAGGATAAACGGAGCAGAGACTACAGCACTTGTGGACTCTGGGGGTGCTACGACCCTCATATCGGGTAAGCTGGTAAAAAGTAGTCAGCTGCTGCAAGCCAAACGCTTAGCAGTGACATGCATACAGGAGGCCGTGAGCCATTACCCCACCATCCCGGTGGAGACAGAGGTTCAGAAGAACCCCATTGAGGTGACCGTGGTTGTAGTTCCTAAATTCCCATATCCTGTAGTCATTGGGAGGGACTATCCAGGCTTTGATAATTTACTCCCCCGCAGAGAGGCTGGAGGGAGGTGGGGACCCTGAGGACAGCGACTCGTCACCGAGGGAATGTCAACCCTTGAGGTTCACTGAGATTTTTCAGGATCTGTTCTCAGCCCCCCGAAAAGACCTGGAAGATAAAAAAAAAAAAAAAAAAAAAGAGGAAGACCGCGAAGGCCTTGGGAACCCGGATCCTGACCCAGGGCCAGAAGACTGCCCTAGTAGGCAGATAGCAGGTGGTGAGCCAGTGGGCAGAGGGCGGGCCCAGGCTCTCCCCTCCCAGATTAATCACTGAGATTGGGAGACAACAGAGACTGTGGAAGGGAGGGTGGCTTCTCCTCATCTTCTTTGCTGGCTTATGATGAAAATGGCTCAGTAGGCTGTGACCCTTGCCTCTAGAGAGAGAAGGGCTATGTGGAGGGTCACAGTGAGCCCCTGAGGCTAGCGAAATCCTCCAGGAAGTGCGGGACCTTCTGAGACAAGGACAGAGCTTTGTCACAATATATACACCTAGAATAAAAGAAGATCCTGTAGCTCTCAAACCCCGCAAAGATCTCGCCCTCCTTGTTTCTGTGGGTTTCAGAGATCCATTGAACACCCCTTCCCCCGACAAAGTGACATAAGTTCCAGAG